AAATATATCAGTGTTTGATTCATCCAAAATGTAATAATTTGAGGGGTCCATGGATACTCATAATCAGATACTCTTCATCATCAGTGGGTTCCATTGCAAAAATAATGTTACCTCCAAGCTTAACTTTTTTCAAAGTCAGCCTTTGGCAGCCTGAGCTCACATCACCAGAAATAAAAGACTAGTTGTAAATATAAAAAAAATATATAAAAAAAAAATATAAAAAAAAATATAAGAAAAAAATTAAAAAAAAAAATATAAAAAAAATTAATGGATGGTGGGTTGAGTAACACAGGACATCCCAAGGCATAATCCTCTAAAAATTGAAGAAAAATCAGTAAATTTCTATGGATTAAGATCATGAAGCATCACCAATATTTTCTGCCAATTTATCTATATTATTTTATTTAAATTCTGACCATAACCATTTTCACCAAGTTAGTCATACTGCAGGAACATTACAACCTTCTACTGGACTTCCTTACTTACTTCCCAAAACAGGAGACTTAAGTTGTAAACTCAGTCTCCAAAATGTCTTCTCCTTGCCATGGCAACCAAAAACAATAATGGATTACAACTTGCAGGATTGAACCCTTAAATAGTGATCACTTAGTTGGCAGTGTACCTTCTCTTTGTTTGTTACTACAGCTGATGGTGAGGAACACTTCCAAGATTGTATATCATCAGGTGTGAGTTCCTTTCCTGGAAATTCCCTCCATTTTGAACATGACTTGCACTGGACCCAGAATGGCATGATCATCTCTGAAACATACACCTTGATGTTTGCTTCTTTTTTCCCAATAGAACTCCAATCTAGTTTCCATTTGGTGTATGTTTCATAGCCAGTTTTACAGCTTTAAAACAGAAAAAGCAATTGAAAGTTTAGGAATAGTTGATTCTAATAATTGAAAGCTCTAAATCCCAAAGCTAAATCATTGAGCATTGCCTCCCACTGCGTACTTCAAGAATGAATAGATCATCACAAAAATAATTCATCTATCCTTCAGATCATCCATGGAGAAATGTATGCCCACACCAGGGGTTTCATTAAGGGCCTGGGCACCACGCAAATTGAGCGGTTGTGAGGAATGTTTAACAATCTGGAGAGAAGTTTATCTTATGGTGAGGTTCAGTTCAAAAAGTTTTTTCCTGCCTGTGAAAATCAGTTGCCCTCCTGCTGAAAATGTAAATGAAACCCTTGCAACACAATTGCAAGGGCATGACTGAGTTGTGAGGTTTTGGGCTCTCTGTGATAATTCTGAGAACAACTCAGTACATTACTTAACCAGTCATCATGATTTAGCACTAACTTTAGATACAGTGTAGCTTGCCTTACCTACGATACATGTAATCAAAACAGGCATTACAGAAATGCTCCCCATCCGACATGTGGTACCATCTTGAAGTATAGCCACATCCAGCACAGCTTTATTAAAAATTAAACAATTGATCATACACCAATTTTAAATGATTGATTAAATTGATTCATAATTCTCACTTAGAAGCTGAATTAAATTTTCTATGCAATTTATTTCTCAAAACTTAACAGCTGCACACTTATCATTTCATACTAAACATTGCTATAAACAATAGCAAATAACAGAGAAAAAAGGTCTTTCTTTTCTTTCTGAAACAAATATAAAAAGTTCAGAAAAAAGTCTGAGTTCCCATGAGGAACCTCAGGGCCTTCGGATTCTGTGACTGTGGTGAACTACACCATTACCTGAATGAAGGGGGTAAGTTTCTAAAGAAATTGAGGTGCTGCACCAGTGGGATGTACTAGGTAATTTGGTTTTATCAACTGAGCTGATAAAGCCAAATTACCCCATTACCTGTTTCATAATCAGGTCTGGGACAATCTCATTTTAATCAACTAATTCAAAATGTTATTTACATGGCTAACTACACCTCTTACTCTAACGAATATAATCTGATACTCACGTTTCATCAAATCTTGCACAGCAAGTTGGTCTCGAGGCTGGGCAGCCAGCTTTCTCGCATGCTCTAAATTTCTCTCCTTTTATATTAGACACAGCACCACTGTCAAAAAACTGTTTTCTCTTAGCTTTTCTTGGAGATCGTTTGGTTGTTTTCTCCTCTTCCATTGTGACCAACAACTGCTATCGAAGACAACACCTCTGGTGCGGTACAATGTATTTTGTAGTCATTCTGTTAATGACTTCAAGANAAGGATGAAGTAAAGTCAGGGAAGCTGTGGAGTGGGTGTTTAGCAACATAGTAACATACTTCGCTTTCCTAGATTTTAAGAAAAACTTAAAGATTGGATTAAGTCCAGTAGGTGTAATGTATTCAGTGTGTGCTCTGCTTAGGAATGCACGTACCTGCTTATATGGATCAACTACAAGCACCGATTTTGATGTTCAACCTCCTACATTAGATGATTATTTTCAGGTTTAAAGCTCTTGATTTGCTACATCATAGTTAGTACTAACTATGGTTACATTTAAGCAATGCAATTTGGTAAAGTGATGAGAAGATAAAAGAGAAGAATTGAAACAAATTTTAATATTGTAATTCTATTTTCTGCTTGTAAATTTCTATGTATAGTTAGCTATGAAAGGAGTATTTGATGAATATGGGATGTGGATCCATGGCCATCAATTTTTTTCTCCTTATTGGAGAATTTTCAAATCTAAATTAATTTACTTGAGAAAATCAAAATTTTAAATATGTATAATTTTTAATTTCAAAACAGCTGAACTGACTTTGTAATAATAATACAGTACATTTATATGATACAACTACAAATATATTTGTAAAAAGATGTAAAAATATTGTATTAAGATATTTTACCATACAAACTCTTCCTTAGTTTTCATTTCATAAACATAATGGTATTAATATGACAATAATTACTGAGAAGCTAATAAAATGTTTCAGTGTTCAAGGTTTTATCATAGTGTTTGGGGATTTTTGTCCAAGATATACCTCTCTCTTTTGAATCTGGTCAGTTCTTGTGAGGCTCCTCAACCAGTACTTCTCTGAGAAGCATAGTTTCGTGTTTCCTTTCCAAATAAAAAGTTCTCGTTTCGCCATCGCTACGAATTGAAGAAAGTCGGGAAAGTGTCAACCACATCACAACAATTCACTGTTTATATCTCTCATGCATGGCTAAAATTCAAAGGGTGAAAGTGCTTTTTAAGGCCCTCATTTTTCTATTTAAATTTATTCGACTGGCGATATGTTGTTTACGTGTGTAGACCCCAGAATTTCGTGAAAATAGGTTGACCAAAAAGTATCAAAAACGAATGGAATCAGAGTTTGTAATAACATTCAATTCGATAAAACCTCTGTATACGGCTTTAAGTTTGCTTTTGCTGACTCAGAAAAAGACTAGCGTAAGTATAAAATACAAAATACTCACCTTTCGAAACTCGTTCTCTGGAGGACGACTTCTGGTCAAAATCTCGTCGTCGACGAGCGGCGGACGACGAGTTTCCCGCTCCCGTGATGGTGTCACGGAGAGCTACGCATGCACAATGTGAGCACGCTAGTAAACTCGTACTCGTACTTGTACTCGTTCTCGTACTCGAATCTAAAGTTCTCTATTATATGCCGAAAAAATGCGAGGGATGCAACCGCAAGTATAGCCTGGGACAATGTTACCGTCAATACACGTTCGCAAGTGAACATAAATCGCCGACTCTCAATATGCACTTTGTTTCAATTATTGAAAAAAAAAGTAAAAGAAATTGAAAACTTAAAATTTTGCGAAAGCCATGCCTGTCATTGCGAACTAATGCCAGATTTCTTCGAACCATTCGCCACGAAAGTGACCTCGGTCATGGAATTTCATTTACACTGGTTACACGATCCTACAAACTGCCGATGCCGTCTCGAGGGTATTTCGCCTCGAATTTCCTTCGCCAATCAAAAACCTTTAAGTTTATTCCTGACTTTTCGAACCTTCAATTCAAACAATTCAAACGAATTTGATTTTTCTTCAGGAGAAACAAAACAATCAGGATCTCATCGGGAGACGTTTGATACGTCGTGCAAATGAGAATTATTTACTGAAATTATTCTAATGCCGAGTACTTTGAAATGTCATCAGTACGGAAAAATAATTTATTTGGCGACCAATCTTGAACTTTGGTCGCATCAATTCCAAAGTCTATTTGCTAAATTTTATATGTGAAAAATGTGCAAATGTCTGCAGGTAAAAAAAAAATCTTCGGTGCTGCACCAGCTACTGAACTCAAGCGGGTCATGCGCGGGTGTAAGTGTGCCATGTGACTGTCGATTGATCTAGGGAGGGGAAGGAAACACGATAACCACCTTAGTTTTCACCAATAAATACAAACCCTTTGATAGGAACTTTTATTGAAATATTTTATTACTTGTGTAATTTTTCATGCTGTTTATCATAAGTCTACTAAGTAAGAAGCCTTCAAAATGATGAATTAACGTTTTTTAGTTTTCTAAATCCTGTTAGAGTTTTTTATGACATTTGATTCAACAGGTCTGTGTTAAGTAGTTTCGTAAAACACTTCAACTTCATCAGGTTGAAAATGATAACTTCCTGCCAGGAATGATCGGGTGAAGGAGGTGGCATAACTGTGGCCAGATGGTGGACTGTAGGTGTATCCAAGGTTTGAGAAAGAATTTGTGTTGGATGAGGCGTAGCTGGCAATGTAAAGATCGTTTCCTGCACCAAATGTAGATCCATAGCTAGAACAACTGAGTATGGAATGGATCCTGTAGTGACTGTATCGCCCTTGTTGGGTCAGTTTCACTGGTCCCCAGCCTGGCTTGTTAACCAATGAGAACAAAAAGGCGCTCGACGTGTACTTCCATACACAAATTGAAGCTGAATGATAAGTAAATAATTCAAAATGTTATTCAACTGTCGTTTCCTTTTAAGGGAGCAAACACTTAAAATCTTTGATTAGGAAACTTTCATGACGTCACTGTGGTTTCCAGAAAGGTCCGAACTTAAATTGGTGCAGGTGCAGCGACATTTCTGATGACTTTATCTAGGTTGTTCCAATCTTTCGGTGAGTGATAACACACTCTGTTTACCCCAATTCTTGGTTGCAAGAGTTAGTCTAAGTATAATCCCATTTCTTGTGTTATAGTTATGAACGTCCCTGTTGGCTAGTGGCTCTATTGAGTGATTCATGGGGCCATTAATACACTTATAGCCATACTGATATAGCGATGATAAAATCTACGTTGTTTAAGGTTGAGCCACTCTAAAGTTACGAGGGCACAAGTAGCTGACGAATTAAGTGGTCTGTTCAGGAACGCGCCGTTTATTGACTTTAGAAATTACATACTCTACATAATCTGAGTACATGAAGTCTGAGAACAACAAAACTCCTCAATACTTGTACCTACTTACGCTGTCAAACTCACAATCAAAAGTAGATAGAGACGATGAGGAAATATGAAATAAATTTCTGTTGCTTCCAATCAACCGGGATTTGGTCTTAGAAAGGTTCAAGGTAAGTTTGTTCACCTTATGCCACAATGCTACGTTGTAGAATTCTGCATTCAACTTGCTCTCCAGCTCACGAGGTTTTTTCGCGAAGCAGTAAAAGAACGGTTTCGTCAGCGTACAATGACACCTCGGGGTGTTCAATAGCAGCAGGTAGCTCGGTTAATATACACAAGGAACAATAACGGTCCCAAAATGCTTCCTTGTGGAACTCCGAAAGTAACGGGATGGGCTTCGGATAGTTTATTTTCACAAGAGGTTTGCTGATTCCGATTACTTAGATACTAAGAAAACCACTGCAGAGACCGGGGGGACAATCTGGACATCAAAATCCCATGATTGACTGTCTTGAACGCCTTTGTAAGACCCAGCAATACAGCAACACAAAAGTTCCGTTTTCCAAGTTTAACAGGACCTCATCGGCAAAGCCAGAGAATGCAGTGGCTGTTAAACGCTTACAACGAAAATCAAATTGCTTGTTTGAAAGTAAATTATTTGAATCCAGGTATTCGTACAGCTAAGAGTGGATTACCCTTTCTAAGATCATTGCTGAGAGAGCGTAGAATTGAAATAGGCGACAATTTGTTGGGTTTGTTCCTGATCTGAATAAAGCTGTCACTCTAGAGCACTTAGTTTATTTAGTTAAGTTAAGTTTATTTTAGTTTATTAGCTTCGCCAACCGGCAGGGACACCGCATCAGCTTGCGCCAATTACTGCGGGCCCAGTAAGCCCAACCATCCCACCCCAGGGGAGGACATCCATCACACAGTAATCTCGTGCGTGGGAAATTAACGTCTCCTAACCCCTAACCCTGTAGGAGACGGGACCTCCATTTATTCGTCCCTATCCGAGAAGACTAGAATATCTAACCATTTCTTGATGTTATAGAAAGGTAGCATATTCTTCTCAATTATTTTAAGACCTTGAGTGTTGGTCCGGCCGGGGCTCGAACCCTCGACCTCCCGCACAACAGTCCAGCGCTCTATCCATTGAGCTAACCGGGAGGCGGTTAGCTCAATGGATAGAG